GAATCATTGAAGCTGTGCAAAACAGTGGGTCCTTAGGACTGGGATTGAGAACCACTGTTTTATAGCATAGACCTTCTGAGTTTCCAAATGACTGTTTATTCTTAACTGTCTTGTTTAATATTGACGCCCTGTGTGGTACTCTGTGTTTTTTTTTTTCCTCTGAAGATGGCCATGCATTAGCAGGGTTCAGAGAAAGGCTGTGCTTTCCTGCTTTTATTCAGAATGCAGTAAGCAGGAAGAGGATTATTATGGATGTGATAATGAAGAGACACACTGTCTGGACATTGACAGCAGTGTGTTATCTTGACCTGAGTGTGTGTGGTATTTTGGGAGTCCTTTCTGAATCATTCAGGCTAAAGTGGTTCTGTTATTTTCCTCCTTGTGTGATGTGTGTGTGCTGCTCTGAATGCTCCACTCCATTAGGCAGAGAGAAGCAGTCGAGAGCCGCCAGCTCAGCCTCTTCCACCTTTCAGCTCCACTAAACCAGGAGAGAAATGAAGACTTAGAGTTTGTAGTAGGGCCCAACCAAATTGACAATTGTCACCAATACTGATTTTAAGGACCTAAAATATTTGCTAACTGATATCAGCCAGTATAATTTTATAGTATGGTTGTCAGTGTTCAGTCATCAGATTTCTTTCATTTCAGCAGCAAAAGCTTAATAGTACTCTGCAAATGTCAGAGACGACTTTTTCATTTATTTAATTTCCATGGTTGGTTGTGGTGGGAGCATTTAATTTTTTAGTGTCGGGGAAAGAATTCAGGAAATAAAAAATTATTTAACAGAAACAGATAATTATACACAATGTAATGCTGATAAGCAATTTTAATACATTAGGCAATAGCCTCTTTGCTTAGAAAGAAGTTAATTCTACAGCAAGATAATAACCCTAAGCAGGTCCAAAACAATGGACACACCAGAGCCCAAACCTGAATGTATTTGGGATTACGTGGACCATGAGACGCAGAAAATGCAACTTCTAAGACTGAACTTTGGAAGTGTGGAAAAATATCCCTGCAGATTTCTTTGAAAAACTGAAAGCAAGTCTCCTGAAAAGAATGTAAGTTATAATAAAGGCAAAGAGTGGACACAATAAGTGCTCAAAAATTGATGTTGGTTTTAGTTGTTGAGGCTTCTGTATAATTTTCTGTTAAATGTTTTCTGCTTTTCTTCTATCAATTAAATAAATTAATGGGTGGCCTTTGAATTACCCAGTCATGTACATTATGTAGGAATAGTAATTAATATAAATAAAATAAACTGTATGAATATCTTACTGATGTAACGAGTGACACCATTCATTATTTAATTTGATACGATGTACGATTTTAGTTTTTAGAGTATTATAAAAGTACAGCAAAAGCTTGATATAATGCTCTTGCCCCAAACTAACACACTAGTCTCAAGCTGTTAAGCTAGGCATACAATGATAGAATATGATAGAATATTATAGAATAATTATAGAATAGAATAATATTGATAGAAAAGACAGAATATGATGTTATATTGTTACAATCCTAAAATATTGTATTGTTGGGGATATGGGACAAATGAGCAGTTTTACTAAATAAATGTTAGAGCTCTGTCTTCACTATAATATAAGAAGCTAATCTAGTGATTTTTCTCTACTGCTGATAAATCTTTGAAATCTTAATATTGATGTACTTTATCAGCCAACCGATACACTGATTGAAACTATTTTTGATGGAGTTTATAAATAGAGAAAGAGAGTGATTGAAATGGTAGTGTTGGACATAATAGAAGATAATGATTTTAGAAAGACAGACAGTTCTATAGAAAGAACTATGGAGTTAACATTACACACCGGCCGCAGCTGCCTGAAGGGAGGATGAAAGGAAAGACAACCCACAACAAAGGCACCTTTTCCTTTCCTCCCTCTCTCGCCCCTCTGCTCCCAGCTCTCAGAGCAAGAGTGAGAGAGAACACAAAGAGTGGATTGTGGAAATCTGGGTCTTGTGACAATGTTCGGCCTACAAGTTTCCATGGACTGATGGTTATGGTGGGGGCAGAACAGTGTGTGTGTTTGAGGAAGGGGCCGCTTATCCACTGGCCAACTCGAGCGTAAGCTGGCAGGCCCAGGTCATGTGGCTGGCGTTGTCATGACGAACAAATGTCACCCCATGCAGAAAGCTCAGCCATGGACCTTTTGGTAACCAGTCAGGAGGCCTTAGGCCAGCATCCAGTCCAACTCACACTACTACTGCAGTACACACTCGAACAACTTCAGCTTTTTATTCCTTTGCTGTTAGGGCTGCACGATATCAACGGAATACCACATTGCAAGTAACTTGATATTTGTTGTGTGTTGGTGAGATGGTCTGCAATATATTAAAACACTTTGGTAGGGGATAACAGTACATTATTACTGGTGGTGTAATGGTTCAATCCTTTCACGTTTCAGTTCAGCCCTTGTTTTCTGGGCCATGATTCAGTTAGTGATTTAGCATGGAAAAATGTAACCACCTTTGAACCTTTACACATAGGTTTAATGCAAGATGTGCCAATAAAAAAAGGAAAAAGAATGTAATAATTACTTTTAAAAGTTCCTCTTTTATGAAATTGTTGCAAAAGAAAGTGTTGCTATTTGTAAAATGCTAGGTATATTGTGCTAGCTTGCTGTCAAATGTTAACTGCTGGGGGGATCATTTGGGCAAGGCACAATATGGTTCAGATAGCAGCAGTTCCTGTTGAAGAAATGCTGACTGTTTTCAGTCTTACAATGTCTTACATGCATTTATATTTGTGCCATAAATAACTTAAGTATTCCATTATTTTTTATTTTGCACTTTGGACAGTAGCAAATAGTAATTTTGTAATTCATGGATAGTAATTATCTGTAAAAACAGCAGGAATGCTGGTTATGCAAAATATTGTCATTACTGTCATACTATTACCAAAACTGTAAAACTATAACATTATATGGGTTAAATTTTTTTGGTTTAATTACTCAGCATTTAACCAATTCCCTTGTCTGAGAATCTGGTGTATTTTGTTGCTCAGTGTGGCCAGAAACCAGAGCTACAACAAAAACACACGAAATGATATGTGAGTAAATGTGCAAAGAACTACTAAATGCTTTAAAGAAAACTCTTGAATGACCTTTAAATGCTTTGATGCTACAAACAAACAAACTTTTATCAATCCATCAACTGTCTCTGAAAGGCTTGATGTTGTCACAGCTCACAGAGCTGGCGACTGTTTGAAAAAATGTGTTTCCTGTCAGATTGATAAAAATCGGTACATAAGGAAGTGCATACACATGGACATGCAGATAGGTAATCAAAATGCAGCTGTGGCCAGCTTAATGTACGACAAATATGACACTCTGTGTACCTCTGAGGGCAGAGCATCTCAGACTGAGACGGCCAACTTGTTCATTTTCACCCATAGTCCCTGAGGCGTGATTTTACGAGCCAGAAACAGTTCAGTTAAAATAGAACATGTGTTGTCTGTGAAGCATCAGGAAATAAGGGAAAAAAATGTCAAAAAGGCTTCTTGAAATGTGTAGAGCATCCAATAATTACATGCTCGACTAGTTTTTAAGATGGGTTCAGTGCCGAATTGTTGAAATAATTTATAAAAAGTTGCCACATAGTATAGTTTTCTGACCTTGTCTTTCATTTAAGTCTTAATATTTTCTTAATGGGGGTCCTGCATAACAGTTTCCATCAGGGTTGAGTGGGTTGGTGGCTTTGTTTCCATTAAGTAATATTTGTCTACCTGCTAACAGCTTGGAGCAAATGTGAGATATTAATTTTTTGACAGTGTTTTTTTTTTTTATGCTAAACAGTGCTGTGACTGGGTCTGGGTCAAAGGTAAAAGAATGACCGAGAGGGACTGAAAAACATTTGTCTGAAGTTATTTCATTTTTTTACTTTCCATTATTGCTGTCCAGTTCAGACACTATTCTCATACTGACATGACTGTAATAAATGAGTCTGGTACAATTGTTCGTGTAGAGCTGCTGCCAGTCAGAATCCACACACCCACAGTGACTGTATTTCCCTTTGGAGCTTCAGGAAGGAACATGGCTTTGAATCCTGGCTGACTTTTCCGTTTAACCCCATTAACCTGGAGGTCAGAGAGAGTGTTTGATTAACACTCAGCCCTTCACTGCTCAGCTGTGTTGCAGTCAGTCATCGTACCCGCATCAGCAGTTCTGGGGTTAGAGAGAGTAAACTCACAGAGGTTTGGGTTCTGTGAGGTGGAGAGCCAGGTGATAAATGGGGAAAGTGTTGTGTTTGTCAAAGTAAACTTTTCTGTACTAATTATTAGAGATGGCACAGCTTTGAGTCATTCAACGTGATTTAACGTGAAATGACCACTCACCATTATCAACATGTAAAAAAGTGTAGGTTCAGTGGTTGTTCGGATAGGAATTAAAGTTGCTATATTTGTGTAAACATCACAACTCTTGGTTCCAATCACCACCTCTAGAAAAAAAAAAACACTTCATAAGTTTACACTGCAGTGGAACATAGATTATTGAAACAATGTACCAAATTATTTTTACATTTACAAAACAGTCTACCAAAGCTTATAGCTACACTTTTTGAGAGTTGGGGATTTGAAGACCTCTCTGGTGGAAATAGATAATTGCAAGCAATGTGTGGGTAGAACACTTTATATAGCCGGTTGTACTTTTAAATTACCTCCAAGCTTTACAGGGTGACTGCTCAGACACCACATTTTAGCATGTTTTTTCCTGTCCTATCTTGGTAATGCCACTTCTTTCAGTTGCATAGTGCAGCTTTTATGAGCATATGCTTAATATTTTTATAATTGATTCTAACCTTTAAAAAAAATCTATGCAACTGCCACGTTCACTCCTTCTACACCTCTAATATATCTGCAGTTTTTGCAGTGTTTTTTTTAAGCTGGAAAAAAAATAACGACTGCTTTATACAGGCAAGTGCATGAAAGCTTATGTGTTAGCTCTGAACTGACTCATATTTCTCTTTCTCTGACTCCCTCTCAGGCTGGTCTCCTCCATTCATGCCATTATGGCCACAACAGCCGGGATCGTCGTGGTGTCCTCATGTAGGGGCAATGTGATAACAGACAGGTAAGTCATCCAATACTGTGTTCCGCCTCCTCCCATTCAACCCAGTCATTGACTCTGTCATGCTGGAGGGTTCACTAATCTTTCTACCTGTGTGGAAGAGACAAAGCCACGTTCTGATCTCACAGGCTTCCTTTTCCTCTGTAGCCAGTGAATATTGCTCCAATTTGGATTGGTAATTCATGAGAAAATCCTACATCAATGAGTGCACTGAATCTAAAGCTTCACATTTTTTGTAGTGTTCTGAAGAGTCCACTTACTGATTAATGCCTTGTTAGTGTTCAGTCCTCAGAGGGAAAGCAAGACAAGCACACACCCTCTGCTGCCTCCAGCCCCATCTCACAAGGACACAGACGGTTCTTAATTAAAAACGCATTCATTAAATAATCTTTAAAAACTATTTTTTTTCACATAGAGCCATCAGCAGCACATCCTGCATTCTGTCACCCCTCTGTGTAAACAGTCTGCATGAAGTTTTTTGAAGAATTTTTAATTCAAACAAATTTGCCACCAAAAACATAAATCCGGCTTTTAAAAACAACAGGAAAAATAAAATAAGAAGAATAGTGGAAATGGGCAATACATTATGTCACTTTTCTGGAGGTAAAAGTGGATTATCAGGATACACTGGAGCTGTTAATGGAAAGGCCTCTGCTATAGTAACTGCAGTTGCCAAAAGGAAGTAATGCAATGAGCTGTCTAAACAAAACCCCAACTCCTACTGCAAATTTGTAGTGTTTTTGAGAGTTCCCTCAATCAATAGTACAACATAGCCTCTGTTTTTGTCTTATTTTGTTCTCTTGACCTCTCAAACGTAACAATTAAATTTAAAGGTAAAGTTGAAAGTAGCCTGGTGTCTGCTTTGTATGCTAAGGACCATCTTTAGCCTCCCCAATGGGTAATGACTGTATGTTTGTGGAGATTTCAGTGGTCTTTGAATAGTGTATAGAGTTTTACTTTGATAGCCAAGATGCTTTGCTTTTGAGGAATAAAAATATAACAGTATTGGCCAGTTATAAATAGCATATTAAGAAAAAAAAATTAAAAAGTAAAGTGAACTACAGTGAATAGGAAAAGAACATTCTGTAGTCTTTCAAAAGTTGGGTATGGCACGTGAACGAAACATTTGTGTTTGTATTTGTTCATGTTCATCTCTTTGTGTACTCTGGCCTTAAACAGTTAGAATTATGAGGTTGTATGAAAATGGGTTTTTTCTGAAAATGTAAACCCGTTTAATGTTATTCTGCTAAGGCAAATGAGTTAAGGCAAGGGGCCCATGCATGAAATTTTTAAGGGGCCTAAAATTACTACTGGTGCCCGTGTGTGAGAGGGAGAGGGAGAGGGAGGGAGTGTTGGGAGTTGGTTATATACAAAAAAAAGCCCAAGTGCTAGTTAACAGATGTTCTCCTTCAATTATCAGCATCACCTTTTCAAACCAGAGAGGCATGACCAGCAGCACAACCTGCCACCTGTCTGTGGCCTAGAGGGTGTGTGTGTGTGTGAGTGGTGTAATAGAGAGTAATCCAGCAGGCCAGAGAAAACTCCCAGCTGCCCCGTTAATCCACTTGAGGGCTTAATACCCGGTTTGAGTGCATGAACAGCCGCAATTGTGTGTCCTTGTCTGTGTGTATACTGTATGTGCGTGTGCATGACTAGAGGACATAATCAACCATTATTTAATTTGTGCATCGCACACGACAGTTACTTATCTTGAATTCCTGTTTGCATGTATACAGTCCCATGCAGACTGTAAGCTCACCTTGTCATTAAACAGATCGTCACTAATCACGTGTATATGTGTGTGCGCACGCATCTGTGTATTTGATGTCTTTGAGGAAGGTTGTGTGAGTAGCAGACATGCATACAGAAATTCAGGCTTAGACCAAAGCTTTAGCTCTCTGGATGTTGGAGTGGGTGGATCTGGCTGCATAATTAACCTGCGCAATCAGCTTTTATTAATGTGTGCTGTGCTCATGACCAAGAGCATTATTTCTGTTGTGTAAGCTTCCTATTAAATCCTCACTGTGTGTGCTTTTGAATTAGAGTGAATGAGTTTTTGTATTTGTGTTTGTGTCCCTTCAAATTCATGTATTTATGCAAGACAAAGGACTTCCACTACAGATGGTACCACTTTTTCTGTTCCGATACCAATATTGAAACCATTAATATAGTCCTATATCTGATTTTTTTTTTTTAGATGTAACATTTTAGAGAACATTTCTGTTGTGTTCAAAATGCAGTAAAATGAATAAAATCCAGGTATTTTAGCACAGTAGCACAGCATTGTGTAAACATTTTGCATTGTACAAACAACTTCCATCATACAATAAATACATCCTCAAAAATCAGTTTTGAAAAGTATTTTCATATGTCAGATGCTAATATTTATTTATTTAAGATCTGCTGATGCTAATATAAGTGTGATATAATTGCGCACTTCATTTAAGATAATTAGGCTGTCACGCTGAAACTATTCAAATATTTTGCTACTTACAGGAGGAAATACAACTAAAGTCACACAATGTAAGTGTGTACTATTTCAGGCTAGATTTGTTACAGGATTGAATCAGATTCATACAGTTTCTCTGTCTGATATCCAAACCAACAGTCTCATAACAATACCCATCAATGCCAATATACTAATATGCCATCTCTAACTTCTAAGTGGAGGTCCTCCATGCTGTAAAGAGCAATTTAATGCACTTACTAAAACTCTTTTGGTTCAAATGTAGTTTAAACACCTGAAAGGTTTGAGTGCTGATGCGTTCTGACATCACGTTAATATTAAAAACTACATTTCCATTTAAATAGCAGCTTTTCTGACACAAAAGTTAGAAGGCTGTACAAAAATGAAATAACCGTGAAATACACGAAAGTGTTGTCACAAACATTCACGTTCATCTCATTTGTTAGTTTTTCCTTCAGTTTTTTTGTTTTTTTAAAAAAGGAAAAAAGGTATTTCAAATCTGCAAAAGAAAACATGCTTATTAATGAAATGATTTAAAGGCAGGCTTCCCCAAACTTTTGACAGGCAGTGTATGAAAAAACATATCATTGGTGTCAGAACAAAAGCTTATATCTCCACAATGGAAAGTTGAAGAACATTCTTAATTTTTACGTAGTTCATGTAACAAGATTTTATTCCAAATTATTTTGTGCCACTTCTATCGGTTAATTTGTCATAGTTTTTTATAGTGTTAAGGGCTGTCATTTTCAAATAATCTAAAAAAAAAATGGGGATTGGAAAATTGGAAAAAAAAGGAAAATTGAATGGAGAAGGAGAAAAACAAGGTTTTATTGTTTTTTTAATATGAATGATTTATCTTGCTTTTGTATGATCTTCTGTTTCAGGCACTGGCTGGCCACCTCTTTCGTAATCTGGTACGGAGTTCCCTACATGTCGTATGACATCTTTGCCATGTACCTCAGCCACTACTATCGTTTCCGCGTCAAAGGTCATGAGGATTACAAAGGGCACTCTTTAAGGACAGTCAACTCATTTGTGAGGAAAGAGTTCCTGCTGGTCCTTCATCACATCGCACTCCTCACCATCCTGCTGCCTATTACACTGGTGAGAGGGGGCTGCAAGTGCAGTGTGGGTAGACATTAAGAGAGCTAGAGAGAGAGATGTAGTAGGGCTGACTGGCCACAAAAATTGTAGGTTAAACTACAGTAGATTTTAATCAGCAAAACCATTAGAACAGTTATTGTTTAATATATGGAAAATGTTTTTAAAAAATTAAATAAATGTTAGATGGTTTAGTTGATTGCCTCACATCTTCACCTCACCCCAGAGTGCAAACTGCACAGCTTTCCATGCAGCTAAAAGAAGAAATGTGTGGAAGCACTGTAAATTACAATAATGCTCAGTGAAAAATACCAAACTGCCTCCAATTTAGCTTTGTTGTCTAACCACTTCAGGCAATAGTATCACCTGTTTTTCTTCTTTATATTTCTAATTAAACAGTGTTATAGCATGTTTATAACATGACAGCAAAAACAGCCGATGGTTACTAAGATTACACTCACTTTGAAAAAGTTTTACTGCTGTTGGTCTCAAAAGAGTCTCCTCTACACACTGTTAGTACAGCACAGGAGCTGCTCTGTCACTACCACACCAACATAATTATCGCTTAATGTTATTCTCATACTTTGGGAATGAGTGATTTGACTGGATCAAGTGGGGTGGCACCTTAATACATAAAAAATGAGTCAGGTTGGAAGGGCTTGCGTTTTGAAGCACATCTAGTTTGGCCACTGAACTGAAATATTGATTAAAATGGAAATGTGTTTGTTTTGACATGCGGATGACTCAAAAACACTTCAAATATTATTGCTTTTAAAGGTGATTTTTAAAATAAGTATTTGGATACTCACTGGAAAATACCGACAAAATAATCGAATCCTGTAAAAATGTTTCTGGTGCCAGCGTTGGGGTTGGGTGATGTGGCAAAAATACAATACAGCGATACTTGAAGACATTTTGACAATACATGATGTGTATCAGAATATTTAGTTTTTCTGAGGTTTGAGAAGCTAGAACAGAAATAATGCACCATAAGTGGCACATTTCATTTTTTAATTTTTAATGAAATGTGCATTAGTTCACCTTTAAGTACTGACAGTGTCCGCAGTATGACTGGAAAATCATATGGTAATGTGATTTAATTTACAATCAAGCTCTTGTGATTTATTTTTTTTGTGATTTATAAAAACTTGGAGTTTTCAGACGAAAAAAGCCACCGAAAACTATGACCAATGAAACATCAATTAAATAGGCTTACTACGAAGTGTCAGAATCTAAGACTTTGCAAATAATTTAAATGGTAATGAAATTGATAAGTGATGAGAAATGCTCTTTGTATTTTTTCACTCTCCTGTGTTGGTCAGCACAGGTGTGTTCAAACATCTTGAGCCACAGCAAACGAATGGAGAAAATGTCAATCGTGTGGAACTAATTCACGATTTCTACTGGGGACGTTACACAAGCAAATTATAATGTCTGTTCATGTTGAGTATCAAGATGAGGTACAATGCTCAAGAACTTCACTACAGGTTTGATGCCACTTAAAAAAACAAAACATCCGGCTCGATATGCAGAATACTGCAAAACAGGAGCAGAAAGTCCCTGCTAGCTCGCTAATGCCAGCTGTAGCGGCAGCTTTTGAAATGATGACAAAATTCAAACGACAGGGCCAGTATATAAGCACAGTATAAGTAAGTATAACATAAAAATAATAAAATTCTTTGTCTTGAATTATCAGCTGTTCTCTGTTTTTACCTAAGCTTTTTTTGTGGGTTTCAGTTTTCAGCCCTGAATTTGGGTTTCGGTTTCGATCAAGGATTTTCACTTTGGTGCATCACTAATTATAATAACAGCTGTTACACTGCCAGCATTGATGGACACAGACAGATAGACACGCGCACACACACACACACACAGGCGTCTAATGTTGCGTCAGGGAGCAAAGTGGTGTGGAGGAAACCTGGTCTTTTGTTTTGGGGATGCTGTGCTGTCAGTAGTGATATGAGATCACTTTACCTTCGCTTCCATTATTCACATGCAGCTGCTGCTCTAATACCATCTCTCTCTCTTTCTCTCTCTTTCTCTCTCTCTCTCATGCACCTCACACACCTTTGTTTGCTGACTTGCTGAACAGTGGAACACAAACATGCACACAAACTCTCAAAAAATGACCACTTCACACACAGCTGATAAAGTAGCATGTTTCTCAAGAAGCAGCACAACACATGTATAGATGCATATATATATTTATGCACGTGTGATTTGTCACTGTGCCTTCTTTTTATTACAAGAGCAACATCTGTGTGTGATCTGTTCGTCTCTTGATTTTTAATTACCCTAAATACATATTCAGCAACATATCTTGGTAATCTAAATGGTAAAATACTCCTGGTTTATATTAGTCCCTGAATCATCCATAAACCCCTATGTGTTGAAAAGCCATGCTAAAATGTATTACGTTTTTACAGTGCACGTTTGTACAGTAATTAGCCTAAGCATATTGTAATTATGTTCCTCTTGGCAGGTCTTTCACACACACTCCTTGCACTGTACTGTCTGGTATAGGGTTACACTGAGGGTGGCCACTGTCTGTTCCAGTGGCTGCTTCACCTCCTCTTTTATTCATCATCTCTCCTTTGCTACTCACACACATGCACATGTCTGGCCACAGATGAGTTCTTAACATCTTAATCTTGTCATTTGTTACAACGTTTAATGGCCATTAAGTGCAGAGGACATGTTCATGCTTTGGCTAGTTGTGTTTACTGTAAGCTCTAGGGATGTACAGCTCTAGGGATGCACCACTATGGGAATTGTGGGCCAATGATATACAGCATTTTTCATATATATATATATATATATGCCAATACGTAAACAACTATAAACTTGGATTAGCATTACAGAAAAATATGACCTTTCATTTTATAGGATTACATATGCAGAATTAATAAAATGCAGATATTTTAGTCCAGTAGCCCAACATCACCTAAATATTCTGCTCTTCTGGAATATAATTAGTGTATCATCAATGTGTCATCCAAGTTTTAACTTCTTTATTTTTTAAGTAAATATCTGCCGATAACAATATGATCTTGATATATTGTGCATCCTTGGACAGCCCTATGTGTATCATCACAGTTTGGCTGGCAGATTTTTTAGGGTGCCAAGCACCAAAAGCCAAATAAGCTGGTCATATATTGTATTTGTTACTGTTCTTAAAGTAATGGGACCCTTTTCTGCTTACCCTAAATGTAGTTGATCAGCGAAGACATGTTTGGTGTCTGAAGTTTGCTTCTTAAGTTTTGCACTGGAGATACAAGTCTGATATAATAGTCTAGCTTAAACAGCATTTTACCACTTCTGATGTGTGTTGGTATTTTTTTAAACGAGTACCCAAAAAATCGTTCTCAAGACAACCCTTAAAACCAAAAATATTTATAATTGTTTTATAATTACCCCGATTGTAATTAGGTTCAGTCATCAGTCAAGTTGTGTTTTGCCTATGTTAGGGGTATAGGGGATTCTTTAATGGGGAATTCCACTGATTAAATGGTTAAGATATAAACAAAGTCATTCGGAGTGGTTTGATGTAAAATGCTCTGTTCTTGGGAAACTTAAGTCAGAGTTGTTCACAGTGGTAGGGATGGAAACCAGACTTCTGAAGAGCTGCCTCTGAAAAAAACTCACTCACAGAAAGTTATTACAATGGTTGTGAATACATTGCTGGATACCTCAGACATTTTTTATGATTTGATCTAAAACCTTTTTTTAAATGAAACATTCGTGAGAGGTATGTGCAGGGCATTGTGAGTCACCAAAGAAGTTATTTTTCTTCAGATTAACCTGTGTTTTACCAATAGCATTACATATACAGTGGAGGAAATAGGTATTTGATCCCCCACTGACTTTAAAAGTTTTAATACAAAAAAAATAAATCAAACGTCTCATAATTTTATGCCAGCTTTATTTTAACAGTGACACATAGAATATCAAAAGAAAAACTGAGAAAATTACATGAAATGAGAAATAAAAATTAATTTGAATTTCATTGAAGGAAATAAGTATTTGACCCCCTAGTAAAACATCATTTAATACTTGGTGGCAAAACCCTTGTTGGCAAGCACATGCATTAGGCATGCATTTGGAAACACGAAGCTTCAGCTCTCTCCATAGATTTTCTATGGGATTGAGGTCAGGAGACTGGCTAGGCCATTCCATGACCTTGATATGCTTCTTATGGAGCCACTCCTTTGTTTCCTTGGCTGTATGTTTTGGGTCGTTGTCGTGCTGGAAGACCCATCCACGACCCATTTGCAGTGCCCTGGTGGAGGCAAGGAGGTTGTCACCCAGGATTTTGCGAGACATGGCCCCGTTCATCTTCCCGTCGATGCGGTGAAGTTGGCCTGTGCCCTTAGAAGAAAAACACCCCCAAAACATAATACTTCCACCACCATGCTTGACGGTGGGGATGGTGTTCTTAGGGTCATATTCTGTATTTTTCTTCCTCCAAACACGTCGAGTTGAGTTGAGGCCAAAGAGCTCAATTTTGGTCTCATCTGACCACAGCACCTTCTCCCAGTCTCTCTCGGAGTCATTAATATGTTCATTGGCAAACTTGAGGCGGGCCTGGACGTGAGCCTTCTTGAGCAGAGGAACCTGGCGTGCACTGCAGGATTTTAAACCATTACGTCTCAGTGTATTACCAATGGTTTTTTTGGAGACTGTGGTCCCAGCTGCCTTGAGATCATTAACCAGCTCCTCCCGTGTAGTTCTTGGCTGATTTTTAGCCTTTCTCATGATCAATGAGACTCCACAAGGTGATATCTTGCATGGAACTCCAGGCCTAGGTCGATTGACAGTAATGTTGTACTTCTTCCACTTCCGAATAATTGCACCAACAGTTGTCACCTTCTCATCCAGCTTCTTACTTATGGCTTTGTAGCCCATTCCAGCCTTGTATAGGTCAACAATTTTGTCCCTGACATCTTTAGACAGCTCTTTAGTCTTGCCCATGGTGGAGATGTTGGAGGGTCACTGAGTCTGTTGGCAGGTGGCCTTTTATACAGGTGACAATTTGGGACAGGTGTCTCTCATGCAGGTAACGACTTCACTGAGATTAGGGTGTGTCAGTGGTCTGTGGGAGCCAACATTAGTCATGGTTTTTAGGGGATCAAATACTTATTTCCCTCAATGAAATGCAAATTATTTTTTATTTAAATATTATTTAATTTTCTAGATCTTCTTTTTGATATTCCATCTCTCACTGTTAAAATGAAGTTACCATAAAAAATCATAGACTGTTTAATTATTTGTCAGAGTACAAACTTTTAAAGTCAGTGGGGGATCAAATACTTATTTCCTCCACTGTAAAAACTCACATACATGCATGTTCACTTATTTTGAACAGTAAATAAAATGGCTATATTTGCATTATAGGCATCGCAACCCCTGTTTACTATCGCCACCATAATAAAGAAATGTAAGTCCGTCAGTTTCTCTACAGTGAACTGTTTCACATTAGACAACATTTTGAATGACTTTGTTTATATGTTAATAAATGAATTATAGAATGTCTTAAAAATCAGTGGAATTTACCTTTAAGGAATGCACAGCAAAAGCAGTACCACACAATTTCCATGGGTCAGAAATTGGGACATTGGTGTGTGTTGCTGAATGTGTTGTTTTTTTTTCTTTTGCTTTTTTCCCCTCAGTTCTTTAGGAAAGATCAGGGTGATTACTTCATTGGCTGCCTCTTCCTCACTGAGCTCAGCACACCTTTTGTCTCACTGGGCAAAATCCTCATTCAGGTAATGAACACACACAAACTCTTAATGACTTGCTTGCAGGTTTTCGATGATAGGCTTACAGATTTGCAGACCTCAGCAGACTCTTAATTGTTAACTGATTACTATTCTTACAGAGGTTGTAATGACCACGCATACACAGCCCTTCAGCATGCTGTTTCTGAAGGCTCTCGTCTCTGTCTCTCTCACTCCTTTTCCTTTATTTTTGTTTTTTTGCCCTCTTTCCTTCTTATCCCTATCTTCTCCTATATTATCTTTGCCTTTGGTTTTTGTTAAGTCTTGCTCTTGTGTTTATGAAGTGTTGGTTTTTTTGTTATGGAAATCTACATAGTACATGTAACGTCTATTGCTGCACACTGTACCCCCTTGTGGAAATGTCTGGTAATATCTTTCCAGCAGTTTGTTCAATGTTGGTTTCAAGAGCATAGATTCTTGTTTGTGGTTATTTTATTTATACAGAACTTCCTCTCACTTTAAGAACACTGACAGAATGCGGTTTTCTGAGCTTCTTGTAGGGCACTTTGTTACATAACATTCAGTTTCCAGTTTACTATGCTATGCTGTAGCACTGGACTATGTTGTTATGGTTAATAAAAAACTAAACAGGTTGGCAACAACAATGATACATTTCTCACCTTGCTAATGTTAGCTCGATTACACACACAAAAAAGGGACATTTCACACACAAACACAAATTGAAGCTGCACTACGCAAGACGTGGAGACCTGTCTGGTGGAGATATGTAACTTGATGCAACATGCAGAAGAACATTTTGTAACAACGTTTGTGCTTCAGACACTTTCCCTGAGCGGATGAATCTGATGATTGCGAGCACATTGAAAGAACTCGGCCAAAACCTTGGTAAATTACCAGTGTTATCAAAGGATGTGAATGAGTTATCTACTGTTATCATTATATACTCATCTAGTGTAATGTTGACTTTACATGTAAGACCTAAACATCAAGCCGGACCTTCTTTTTGAGCCTGTGCGTGTGAAACTCCTGCAAAATCCATTTCAGGTGTGACTCATAGCCGTGCATATTTTAGCGTGTTTTTGTCTTATGACTCTTTAATTGAGAAAAAAATGTAACATATTGCAGCTTTTAAATATAATTTGAAAGTTATTTTTCCAAAAATTTGCAAAAGCCCTAAGGTTGATTTGGAATTTGGGGAACATGGATAGGTCAGTTACTCACTCTCATAATTACATAACTTTCATATTAGTTTCATAGTAGTTACCCAGCAAGTCTTAACAGTAGTAACTGAATAATAAGCATGCAGTTTAAGGATTGTCTCTCTCTTCCTCTCTGTAGCTTGGAATGCAGGACTGCTGGCTGCACAAGGTGAATGGAGGCATGGTGCTGCTGAGCTTCTTTCTGTGCCGCATTGTGCTTTTCCCCTACATGTACTGGGTGTACGGCGCTCACTATGGCATCCCCGTCTACAGTGTGCCCTTCCATATCCCACTCTCAGCCAACTTGGGCAACCTGTGCATCCTGGCGCCCCAAGTCTACTGGTTCGTCCTGCTCTGCCGAAAGGGCTACAGGCTCTACAAGCGTCAGTGCAGCGCCAAAAGCCAGGATTCACCCTTATCCCCAACAGAGCCACTTTCCAAAGCAGAGTAGAGCAAGGAAAGGTGGCAAGGCAAAGCAACAACCAACCCACGTCAACACCAACTGCTAGGATACTCCAGTACTGCAACTGCTTCTACTATCACTTATACTTTAAATGGATTATTAGTATTTCTCTCTACTCTGCACATACACACACATACACGTACATATGGCTGTTACAGTGCTGCTCTGCTGCGTTTAATTGGAGCAGACGCCTAGGTCAACCTCTGAACCACCCTATCTGCAGCTCCTTATGTCCAGGGGTGGGAGTGGTCATAGTGAAGCCCCACCCCCTTTATCTGTCTTTACAATGGACAGATATGCAAGGATAAGGAGCTAGAAGACAGCAGATGAGTGAAAACAGCTATGAGAGGGGAGTCCACCTAAATAAACCATATAGGTCAAAGGTCTTGACCGTCTCTCATTGCTGTTTAGATACAGGAGTTTGGAAGATTGTTCACAGGTTGGAGTGAAGTTACTAGAACTGTTTTTTCCTTCTTTTATCTTTTGCGACCCCTCAAATCATGATATTCTGCCCTCCTCAGAAGTTCTCAAGGTATGCATTTATGTATTTTGGAGAGGTTAGGGTGGAAGAGTGCTGGATTTCAGACATCTATGAGTGACCTCCATAAACTTTTACTAATCCTTTTGCACCAGCACTGATTATTAAGGGGGGACGTCATCACACATCCCTCCCTTCATTATAATATACTATGTTTTCAGGACCTGTCCTCATTCTGCGTTGTTTGGCCTTACCCCTTGATTTTCACTCCAGAAGCCTCGGTGCTCCCCATAGTAACCATGTCCACAGCTGAAGTCCTGCTGTTTTCCTTTACGGTTGATCGCCGTAGTTCTGTATTCACACACTGCCCTACTGTAACTGTTATACTCTTCCTCTACATTCCTCATTTGGATCTCTTCAGCTGAATCACTCCTGCGTCATATCTTTTGCCCCACATTTTGAAGGGCTTCAGAAAACTTATGACTCCATGGGTCCTCAAGGGGGCAGTAGAGTTTCTGATGACATGTTTACAAAACGGACTTCAGGAGTCCACAACCAGGGAGATGTTTCACAAAGCAGAGTTTCTCAGATAACCAGATAACTTGAGCCCAAAACAATTCCTTTGGACAGTCCTAACTGTGGGCCCAAGATATCCAGTTTTACTGAAGAAAAGCCCTTCTTTGTAGAACATCACCCAGATGGTACTAGAGCAGTTGCTCTGTTGTCATGGTGACGAGGCTACTGTGACATCCTGGACTGTTACATAGTGAGGGTGGGTTCTTGCATAGGAGGAAAGGGGGCATACAACACTTGGCATATCTTTCAGGTCACTTAACTCCTGGGGGGCATCTCTGGGCAACAGATAAAGCAATAACACTGGATGAAAGGCAGGTGATTATGGGTAGTTAGTGTAGTAGTGCTGTCAGAATGGGGCCAGGCTACAGAGAGACTGAAAAGCTGCTCTTACTGTTGACCTCTGTATTCCAGCAGAAAGAAAAAAGTGATATCCATGTGGCTATAATGAAGTGCTTGTCTTGTACATAGGCGAACTCTCGCTTCTTTCTTGGTATTGTTTTGACTGACAAATAGCTCAGAAAGTAGGTGCGCTTGGCAGGGGTTCCACTGTTGTCATCATGAGGCGATTTAATCTCTCTGAGGCTGAAGTTAGACTGCAATCGACCGGTCTATCCTCTGCCCACTAATGCATTCTTTCATAGCAAGTGTTGCTAGGCTAGATTGGACAGGCTTTACAGAACAGTGGGAAAAATCATAGTGCACTCAAAATAGTGCAGTAGTACAAATTAGAACTAGGCAGGTTGGAAACACCAATGACAGAATTTGCCAACATGCAAAAGTATACACAAAAAAACATGCATATGATCTAATGTGCTACTGATCTTTCATGCATACGAAATAAATAATTTCAAACAAAACACGTAATTCTCTGTATTTTGCCAAAAAAAATCAGTTCTATTTTTCAGTAGGTCAAACAGGGTTCTTGTTGACATTCTGTAGAGCTTGTTCTAGCTCGCAACACTTTCAAAACAACGCATTTGTGGACGGAGCACCAACAGGTCAGTTAGACCAGGTTTTCCAGAGATAGTTTAAAACTTTAGTCCCAGACTAAAAAATATTTTCACTAATAAGTCTTGGAAACCAGCCTTTATAGAAATTTTCTCTTATGGCACACAATTAAAGAGGCGGCAGCTTCTGACCAGTTTTTTGTACACATGTGCAAGTTAGCTTTAGCCGTAGCATGGAACTCGGAGACATTCTTCAAAGGGCATTAGCATTTTCTGAACATATCTTTCTGAACACATTTTCATCAAATGCAGATCACGTAAATACACTATTTTATTATAGTAACTTTCAGATTCAGTAAAAGCACTTTCAGCAGCACATACCTTTACAATGTAAATATTTAAGAAGAATGACTTGCGTCTCTTATTTCTAAGCTGAGCTGTCGGTGGTTATTACCTTAAGTTTGTTTATTTCAGTAAGAATGGAAGTGAGATCTGTGAGGTTTGTACAATAGAATATTTACTCTTTTACTTTTTCCTCTGAATTGGAGCACTGATTGCTTTTGGCTTTTCTGTGTAGAACAAGCTTAAATCAACATACAAACACCCACCCAGCACCTTTTGCAAAGTCTAGCACCCCTTGCACTACAACCAAAGTTTTAGTTTGGGCGAGTTGACAGTTTGACGTTTTTCTTCAGGATCTCGTGTTGTGTATAGCAGTACACTGCAGTCCAGCATATTTCTTTACGCAATAACTTCCTGTTTTCTCATTCAAAACGGCCAGTTTCTCCCTTTTTAAGGTTTTTAGCCAAGCCTATTTGGATTCTGCCAATCAGATGAGGAACAGCTCTGTATGTCTTTGTCTCATCGGGCATTGGACCACCACACTGTTCATTTGTCATGTCTGGTTACCCCCCCACTCAAAAGTCTTAATGGAACTGTTTGATTAGCCATGTTAACATGTCTAATAGTGATTGGAAGCTTGTGACCACCTAATCTTGCGGAGCCTAATGTGATTGCATAACCTGGGGACAACTTGTTAAGGTTTTACCCACAGAACTTGTAGAGAGGAGAATTACCACTTTGTAATGTCTTCCGGGTTTCTCAAACGCTAGAGGGCGCTCCTGAGCGAGTCCAAAATAAATGGATTATACTGTAGCATTTGAGAAAAATCATAGTTTATAAATGTTGAAACATTTTTAATGTAAAAGAATAGTCATTTCCTGAACATAGAACAGCTTAAAACAAGACTACTGTTATATGTTTCAAGAGCTTTTGAACTCGAGTTATAGGAGTCTTAAAATGGCGCCTCATGTATGTCCATGACGTCAGTAAGCACGAACAGCCAACAAGCTGCTCTGCTCGCCAACCATTCAGCTCTCACTAGCAGTATTGCTAGCATTGTACTGCCCAAAACCCATTTGCTGTAGAAAAAAAGGAAATATATTGGTGCGCTTTTTTAGTGAAATACATCCTTCTACTTTCTAAAATTAAAGGAAAGTTCTGGGCAAGTGATTAGAAACTATTTTAACTTCTCGTTTTTAGCCGTTTATCTCCATTTACTCCCATTCATTGAGGACTTGCTCACTGGCGTTTTGCAGTTCTGTTTTTGATATAACGGGGGAAAAAAGAAGTGGCCAGACTCCTCGTAAACCGTCTCTGGTACTCCCCCTCTAAAACCCACCCCAAATTCTAGTCCGTGCTCTTTTACATCCAGAGTATAATCAACAACGCAAGCAAAACACGTTAGCTAGCGAAGCGCAATAGTTGGCTAACTGAACTGTTTTTCTTTTGCAAGGACCACATGTAATGTGTTCTGTCCACACACGTAACACGTACATGCTTCATTTGAGATTTTTGGGGGACTTTGCAGCCATGCTAGTTTATGTTACATCCATGAGCTAACAACACGCTTGTCCATCTGACAATGTTGACGACTGCACCGTAGCACCCTTCTTTGCACTTTGCCGTCACAAGGCATTGGATTGATTTTAGAAATTTCACACCTACATTTAGCCCCAAGTTTCTCATTGTTGTCCCCAGACATTCTCGCTACAAGATCATGTCTAGCCATGTGAGATTAGTGGTCACCAGTTTGCAGGTACATTAGCATAGTGTTATCTTTGTTTATTTTATGTTAGCAACATGAGCGTGTTTGACTGACCTGGGCTGGATTTCCCAAAAGCATCTTAGCACAAAGATAATTCTTAAATGGTAGAATGAGCATCACACAGAACACTCTCTTTACCAGTTATGATGATCTTAACACTCCCAAAAGCATCTTAAGATACTCTTTTATGTTTTTTCTTACTTGGTCTACATCCTTCCACCTTGTTCCTGTCACTAGAAATCATAACCATAAGCAAGAAACTGAGAATATTCTTGCTCTTGTTGACTTTTCTCAGTTTGACTTTTAATTCTCTTATGGTTCAAAGAGAAAAGTGTGTGTGCACTTTTACTGTGATTTGCAGATCATATACAAGTAGCATTTTTAGTGAAATGACTATTGAATGCAGTATATCTGTGTGGAATCTGTTACTTAGAACTTAAGGGTCAGCTTCAGCAGGATAACTGAAAACAGGCAAACATAATCCTGATTATCTTATTTTCAGATTTTTAACAGTAATATATAAAGTCTTAGGCCTAGTCTGAAGTGAGGCTTCCTTTCTGCTCAGGGTTTGGTATAGACAACATTAACTGCTGTCTACAGAGGTTTATTTCAGATACGAAAGATAAAACTGTGAGTTTAAAAACAACTGTAAAAATACACAAAACCTTACACTGAAAACAGCCAGTCTTCAGGTTTCGTTTGTTTTTGTTGGTTACTGATATGACTTGTGACATTGCAAGGCTAGGGTTGATAGTCCAAAGATTGTCAGGAACTTTACTCAGCAATGACAGATAACTGAGACAGAAGACGGTGTGTCATAACAGTACAAAAGCTCACCTTTACATATGAGATGTTGTCTTAGTCTCTGTACTTCCACACTCCCAAGTGCACTGCTGTGTGCCATTAAAGTAATAATTTGATGAAAAATCTGATTTACACAATTTTACTTTTACCTCAAATATAGTCAGTCAGCCAAAATGTTGGTGTCTGAAGTTTGCCTCAAATTGCAAATGTATGTACAAAATTCAGGCTAAGATGGCTGCTGCTACAGTTTTTAGCAAAGTCAGTATAGCAAAGTGTCCACTCGTTGGCCATCTTGGCAACGTCACCAGGCAGTTATTTTTATTCATACACAAGACAAGGGCCAAATTCATGAAAGCTTTACTAAGACTTACAAAAAAACTTACAAAGGATCTTAAGACAAACACTAAGACCTTCATAAGAATATTCTTAATGCAATTCTTATTTTTAAAAAAGAACTTTTTTTTAAGAAAATCTTAATTGTTTTCATATACAGGTTATAGGTTAGCCTATCAATATCATGTTACATTTTACAGATATATATATATATATATATATATATATATATATATTAGCGCGCACACAAAACATAAAATGAGGCACAATTTTATAGAATATTTAATGTTGTTTTATTTTTCCAATATGTTAAATTCAGTAAATCAGTAAAAAACAGCTAAAAGAGACTCATGTTACTAAGTGTTAAACATGTCTTGGCTGATTAATTACATTTAGGGTAAAGGGGAATTTTTTTTCACCAAACTGTTCCTTTAACTGAGAGTTTATAAAGTCTTAATACGAAAGTACAGAGATTTAGGAACATTGGGCCTCATTCACCAACCGTTCTTAGGAAGAAATTTCTTCTTAAAACCCAACTAAGCTCTAAAAATATTCTAGATTTCGTTGCATTCTTGTGAGGTTCAGAGCGTCTTTTAGTGGTCATGTGTTCTGGAGGTTTGTTTTAGGTCTGATTGATGCAGTATCAGTAAGCTGAAGTGATGTATACACATGGACCTCTGTGGTAACTTTACAGGAGAGGGCAAAAACGTTCTTAATTTTCAATGCAAGTTAACGTAAAGAGATTTTATTAGAAGCAGTTTTGGAACATTTCTGTTGGTCTAATCATCATGAGATTTTCACACAATGTAAAGGGCCGAGCTCAGATTATGTGGAAAACTAAAATTTGCAAAAAATCAAGATACTTGTTCTTTGTGGACACTGACAATATATAATTGTTTAGATTTTAAAAAGATTTAAATATGCAAATACATTGTTCTACAAAAATTTGACTTCTGAACACCTGTTGTCATGCAGATGAAAACTTATGGACTTGAAACTCGAATCGAAAATCCAGTGCCTTGTGTTAAATATGTGTGCAATGTCCACACAAGCTTGGCGCACACCAGAGCTCTGGTCAGGTAGTGGTCACAGACTGCAGAGGGAACGTTTATCAATTTTTCAAAATATCTCTTACGTTTCTGGCCTTACTTGCCCTGAGATTAACGAATGGGTGAGTGCAATAACTTTCCTGGAGCTTTACCTAGACTTTTGACTGTTAACGTTACAGGAGTGCATTAGGTCAAATGGTGGCCCCCTGCAAAGATGAATATATAACAATTTAAAATTTTGCGGAGCTGAGTACACTTGGTCCTAGTACTCTTGACTGTTAGTGGTGAATTTATCGAAAAACTGGTGAACCTTTTCTTTAAAGAATGGAGGTATCAAAACAGAATAAGGACACCATAATCCATCTTTTATGTTGGTGTCTTTTAAGCTAGCAACTTTCCCTTTGAGCTAGCCCCTGTAAGAGTCTTGTCTGTCTCATTTTTTTTTTTTTTGTTGGTGTGCTTTTCTTTTAGTTTAATCTTAATGAAATCATCACAAATACCTCCCGATTCTTTGATCTTACTTGTCATAGCGTCATGTAACACAGTTAGCGCATGATTAGCTTAGCTATGCAGCCCATTAGCATTGAATGAAGGCAGAGTAATAGCTGCCCATCCATACTTGAACTACAGTGTGACAGTATCTTACTATGCAAGAGGAAGATTATCATCATTCAGCGCTTCTTCAAACACATTCCCGTTTTTTGACCTCCACGTTCAGCTCCGTTGAGACTACAAAGCATAGAAGCAAGTACGGGAGGAAGGAACTCATTCAGAGTTGGGACACAACCAGAGCATGGGCATTTATCATACCCTGACATGGGTTTGCTTCCTTTCTGTGAGTCACTTCATATTTGGCTGCAATTTTCACGCACAGATTTTCCACATTGACAACCTTTAACACTCCCTGCCTCGTCTTATTTTTTATAACATTCTGATTTTTCAAATATATTTATATATCAGATTTGATATATATATATTGGAGTGTTGTGTGTGGTGTGACCTTTTGAGAAATTTCTCGTTTGAAAGAGAATGGGCTACTGCATGAAATTAACCTACAGGTGATTGAGAGGAATTTATTTTTTTGAATTTTGTGAATCCAGACACCCTTTTCAGAGAAGTAAAATCTTATTTGCTGGAACTTTGTGTGTCTCTGTGTTTCACTTGATGTTTTGGGTTGATATGTGCTTGATATGTAAGGTAATTAAGATGTTTAGTTTCAAAAGTTAAAGGGGTGCTTAAGCCAGAAAGAAAAATCTCCACATCTGTGTAAACATGCTTACTTGCACCCTAAAGTGGTGCCACAGTAGCCCACCCTTAGATTCCCAATGGCTGTATGAGGTATTTACATAATGCATGCTGGGTAGTGTAATGATGGGTAGTGGTGACGAACGTTGACAAAAAAGGATACAAAATCGTGAATTCTACAAAGCCTCTGAGGCTGAGGGACACAATGGGGTGCTATGAAATATTACACAAGTCAGATAACATATTAAATGCTCATTTTAGGCCAGAATGCCCTCCCATCCAACCAAAGATGGCCAAGGCCATATGAGCTCCCATTACTTATTAACTGCAGTAGCTTTACAGCTGCAGTGCAAACCTTAAAAAACAAAACCATATGAACTACATGTCCAAAAGTATCCAGACTCCCTTTCTAATTAGTAAATTCAGCTACTGCACTCATTGCTGACACAGGCGTCCAACTGCACACGAAGGTTGTGTATTTCTCCATAGTAAAACATTACAAATAGAATTAGATGCTGTGGAGCAGCTGTATAAGTCATCATGCCCCGTGCCAAGCACTGGCTAGAGGGGTATAAACATCCTCTGCATTGGACTGTGGATCAATGCAACTGCGTTCTCTGGACTGATGAAGTACATCCAGTTCCTTCAGAATGAGTTGCAGTGGCATTTGTGATCCAAAACAAAACATCCAACATCGGTACCTAACCTCATTAATGCTCTTGTGGCTGAATGCAATCAAATCCTCACAGCAATGTTCCAACATCTAGTGAAAAGTCTTCCCAGTAGTGTGGAGGCTGAACAGGAATACACGTCCTATTTATAGCCCTGGTTTTGGAAGAAACATTGGATGAGCAGGTGTCTACAAACTTGGACATGACCACAGGAACAATAGTGATTTGTACAACCCAAACTGCTATTAGTTCTTTACTGTTATTTTTACCACTGCAGGACAATACACCTTTAAATCAATAATGCTTTATGCCTTACTGGTCTACATTTACATAACCAGCCCACCCAAAGACTTTTTAAATATTTTATTTATAAGCTGTAGGATTCTATTCAAGGACCAAAAAAATCCTTTATGAACATTTGCTCTCATCTTCCTCTCATCATGACACATACATTGACAGGATAAATCATAATGATGCCTTGCACCTTTGTGAGAGAGCTCTTATTTATCTTATATTAATACACTTTTACTCACTTTACTTGCTTGCATAGCAACCATGATGCAAGTTATTACATGACTTGTGTTTCACATTTACTTCAGCAAAGAACAGCCTATACTGACCCTTACACATAGGACATGTCCACACTCGTAAAAATACATTGTACACTTGTCCAACTGGTCCACCACGGAAACTGCATTGGAAAATTAGTTCCCCATGAGAACAAGTCCAAATCATTTGACAAGCAAGTAAAGCCTGCCAAAATAAAAGTCCTATATTCAGTGTCCGTTCTTGTCTGTTGTGCGTCCCAAAAGACTGGTAACCCATCTGACTCAGGAGGTCGTGAAGCTGATGTTCATCGTAGGTAGTACTCAATGGCAGCAGAAAAAGCAGCAAAACCTCCACAGCCCAGAATTCCAGCCTTCAAGCCAGCTAGAGGACAACAGGCAGTTTCAGTACAGTACACCGAGAACTAATAATTAGAAACAGATCACTGTAACTGAATTAGAGCCAATCTGTCCCAGGGAGCCTAAATCCATGTTTATACATGCACACATAAATGTATAATAAATAACTGAAATGGCCAATGCATTTCGCCACAATCTTTGGTAAAGCTTGCGTAAGCTTCATCCTCGCCACACAAGGCTCATGTAGCTTCTTCTGCCCACATAGCTTTAACAAATGTATACATTTCCCACAGTCTCACTCTCTTTGAGTCTGAGCGAAATCTAAATTAGTAAGCAAACTCATCTGTCTGTCTGTCATTTCCTCTTTCTGAAAGGGTAAAAAACTTAGTGTCCACTTTGTGCTGTACACACATAGAATCAACAACCTAGGTAAGAGACTAATGCAAGCTTGGTTGTATTTATTAGCCTATAGCTCAGTGGCTAGGCTAGCAGTAGGTGACAGTTTCCATCTATTGCAATGGTTGTAGGATATATTTGGGAAATACATGCTGGGTATTGTAGTGAGAGGACATGACATGATGAACAAAAACAATATAAAATTGTCAATTCTGTCAAACCGGTGAGGCTGAGGGACATAATCAGAGGGGAACCCCCAGAGCCTTCTAGGCCCTCAACTAAGGTCGAATGTTTTCTCAAAACAAAGAAATGCATGTCTAAATTTTAAATCATTTTTATTCAATAGTATTATGATTGTATTTACCCTCTGCAAGTAATACAGCACTACTTGTTTCATTGTTCTTTTCGAATGGAAACGAAAGAGTTAAACCTTTGAAAAGCTAGGCAGAATGTTGGCCAATCAGGAATTATTTTTCTTTGCGATATCTAGATAGATAAAGCTAAGCAAGCTCTCCTACTGGTCGGGACTCCAAGAGGTGAGGAGAAGCCTTAACGGATTAGATTAACTGTCAGAATAATTACAAAGCAACAGAGGAATGAACCAAACACATTTTGATGTCCAATGATTGGGACCAACTCTGTGAGAAATAATATCACTCCGCCTTCTGGAAGTCCCAGTCACTGACTCTAAATGTAAGTGGCAGCCTATTTAGTGGGTTGTTGGAAAGGAAAATAGTGGCAGCAGCTCTTTACTGCTTCTTTACAGCTCTTTGTAAAACTGCTACAAGGTAAAATATATGCTAACATATTTGTCACAAGCTTCAAGTAAGACATGGAATGTCTTTTAGAAGCTTCCAATGTCTGTTTAATCTAGAACTTTCAAGGTGGAACAGAAATTCGAATAAGAACTTCAGCCCCATCAGAAACGGTTCATGTGAATCGCCATTAGCTTAGCACTCACTTTCTATCATTTCTACCTGCTTATTTGGTTGAGCTAGCTGATAATGTTGGACAGAAGGATGTCAAATAAGTGTTCTCATTGGAATATTAGGTCACATCTAGATGTCACACTCAGGTATGTCTGAAAATTCAGCTGGTTTTGAGCAGTGCTTTATCACATTTCTATCTTGTTTTATTAATTCTAACACTGCTGCATGTTTGACACAATGTTTGTAATATCATACAAACACCTTTAATATCTTACACTTTGCTCCCTGGGACTTGGTATATAAAGAATAATGCCAATCTGAGTCTTACCTCTGAATCCAATCGCACCTCCCGTGATACAGCCACTGTATACTGCATTTTTCCAGTCAGATTTACCACGGTGCTGGACGAGAGACAGTATCAGTGTTATATACACAATACATGTATCAGGAAAATGGCACAGAGATCCACTAGATGGAGTCATTTTGCAATCTAAGTGATAAGGGTATTACAGTAGACCTGGATTAGTGGTCATCTCCCTATCAGAGTTTAGCTCTAACCATAATTTACCACACTTCATCCATCACATTATCATTTCCACACGTCATTGATTAGCTGGATTAGATGTGTACGATTTCAGCTGGAGAAGAAATCTGCAGAAAAGTAGCTCTTCAGGAGGAGCGCTGGTGACCACTGTGTTTTCAGGTATATTTATTTATTTATTTGTAAATATAACATACATATACATATAACAGTCTAAATCAAGACAGACATGACAATGCCATGAAAGAGCAAGAAACAGGTACTGTGAAGGGGAAAAAAGAATAACAATGAATGAAACTTACTGATTCTATGATGCACTCTGTACATGAGAACATAGCACCAACAATGGCAAAATTTTTGGCATAAGACATTCCTCTCTGACCCATGTCTCTCAAAACCTCTCTCGCTGTGGGAGTCTTCAGTGGGTCTTTGGGATCAAACCCAACATTGGTGTCAATACCTGCTGTGAAGACTCCAAAAGCACCTCCCAACACAAAACCTAGCAGAAAAACACATTCAACATATCAAGGTGTTAAAACGAATGCTAGACAATGGGGTGTCCGCATATTGAAATTGTTAAGATGCAAATAAGATAAGTCAAAACTGTTCGCTTTGGTGTTTCTGGGAACCAGATGTCTGAAGAGTTTAACTCTAAAAGGTCCCTCAAAGAAAGTTATTAGAGGAAATGGTTATGAATATGATGTCTAAAGCCTCAGACACTGTTTTGCAACAGTTTTGTTTAGAAAAGGATTTGCCGAAACTTTTTTTTTATCTATTCATGGTGGAGAGGTACATGCAGGGTGCTATTAGCCAAAAGAGTTCCCAATGAAAACTTATTTTGTCAGATTTATCACCATTATAAACATTTAATATAAATACTAAGAGTACGTTTGTACTATATTTGCATTGTAGACATTGCAAGCCTTGGTATCCATCATCAGTACTGTAAAGAAATCCAAGTGGGTAAGTTTCCCTACAGTGCAGCATTTCCCATCAAAACACTCTGAATGGATTTGTTCATATTACAATGACTGAATAAGAAACTTAAAAAAAATGTCTGAATTCATTATTAATAGGGAGTCTGTTCCCTCTTTGCTGCAGTAACAACCTCTGCTCCTCTGAAGGGGTTTTACACTAGATCGAACATTGCTGTGAGGATTTGATTGCATTTAGTCTACGGCATTAGGGAGGACAGGAACTGATGTTGTATTAGCTCAATCACTCTAGAACACAGTTTTACTGCTCCACTGCCCAGTGCTGGGGGACTTTATAACTGTTCTATAACTGCTACTGTTCTGATGCTTGGCATTGGGAATGATGACCTTAGGCTCATGTGTAGTTGCTCCAGAGCGTCTCATTCTATGCTTTTCTATTGAGATTATACAAGCTAGCTACGTGTGCACAACGAAACGCCTGTGTAAGTACTGCGTGCACCTTGAAGTAGTTGAATTCACGAGGCTGAAATTGGCTTCTATTCGCCAGCTTCTTGTTCGAAGTTTCCCGTTCCACCTTAGCTAGGGTTAACGTTATATGGTGAAGGAATTACATGCAACTGCTACATCATTTAAGAGGGAACGGGAAAGTTCGAACAAGAAGCTGACCAGCTTCGTGCTGAATTCACTTTATCAGAATGGGTGTGTGGACATTTGTGGATATTTAGTGGAAGTGAGAGTTCATGTACCTCCTATGCAGGCCAGTGCTGCTTTAAAGGCGCAGCTCTCCATTCCGCGCTCTATCAGCTTCTGCTCCTCCGTTTTCTGGGGGCTCGGTAAGCCCCCCATTACGCTCGGGTTCAGCTCTTTAATTTGCCTCTTGTTCCCAATAAGGTGCTCCAAAATAACACTGTACTGTAAATACTCATTCTGCTGTCCTGCTGTTGACCGCTCCTCGCTGCCTCCTGCGGGCGCCGCCATGATACAAGGAGGATGACCTGGTAAATGTAGCGAAAGAAAATAAGTCTGGATTCGACAAAACGCCCGTAGCAGTAAGTAAATGTATTAAAACACAGTTTCCCCAGTAAAAAGAGACATACAAGTGTTATATGTATTCCCAAATTCATTAGATCTATGGCATAATTTTATACACGTTGTGCGGTTTTAGTAAACAATTTCCGCAGATTCGACACTGAAAATGAATTGACCTTCTAAAATGCACGCATTGTTTTTATTCCCATATTTATAAACAGTGAGTTTTATATATACCAGTAATTTAATGTATATTTAAAATATTTATTTGTTTGTTTGTACTTACTTACTTGCTTACTTACTTACGGGGGAACTCCACTGATTTTTCAAAAATTCTGCATAATTAAATGAATGAGCTGTAAGTCATTCACTGTGGTTTGATGTGAAATAGCCCGTTCGTGAGAAACTTGCTGAGTCAGAATTCTTCACAGGGTGGTGATACGAACCACATGTCTGAAGAGTTTGACGCCTCTAAAAGCTCCTTCACATAAGATATTACATGAAATAGTTAGATATATCAGACGCATTGTTTTATGATAGTTTTGTGATAGATATTGTATTTTAATTGTATTTTATTCAATTTATCTGAATTTTAATTGAATTTTAGTACATTTATCTGAATCTATTCATGGCGGAGGGGTACATGCAGGGTGTTGTAAGGCAAAATAGTCCCTAAAGGAAACCTATTATTTCAAATTTATGACTATTTTACTATCATCAACATTACATCTAAAACTCAGAACACACGTGTAGGTTCACTGGTGGTTTTGGATAGTCAATAAAATGGCTATATTTCTGTTGTAAACATCGTGACCCCCATCACCACCACTGCAAAGAAATCATTTCATTCTGCTCATTACACTAGTAAGCATCCGATTAAAAGAAATAAAACAAATAAAAGTTTATTAGAATAATAATAAATATAATCCAAAAAAATAAAAAAGGGAATCTCACAAGGACCGGGATTTGTCGAGAGGGGATGGAAAGCTCCTTCAGATCTCGCAATACAGTGAACTCTGGTGCCGTGTTTATATGGTGTGTGGTGTTAATATCAGCCACTGGATGGCAGTGTTGGGTGTCAGGTAAAGTCTATGAGACAGACTTTTTGGTGGGACACTTAAAATGAATAATGTCTACTCAGAACACTGTTGAAGGGCACTTCCACCGATTTTTTAAATACATAATTCAGGGTTTGATATGTAAACAAAGTAATTTAGAATGGTTTGATGTACGTTCTGGAGAAACGTACCGATTGTCTTTACATCGATAGTGATAGTAACCAGGTGTCGCTATGTCTACAACACAAATATAGCCATTTTACAGTCATTATCGAAAACGATGTCTCTACACGTGTATTCTTTGTTTTTATATGTAATGCTGATGATTGATAAAATAGTGATTAAATGGGGGGAAAGTGTTATTTGGGAACTACTTTGCCTTGAAACACCTTGCATGTTCCTCTTTGGCATGAATGTATTTTCTAAAGTACATTTTAGGTAAAAAAAAAAAACAGAACAAAACAAAACAAAAAACCTTTCAAATCTTTTGTAAAACAGTATTTCAGGCATCATGCAACCTATTTTAACTATTTTATCTGATATCCTTCTGTGAGGGAGATTTTAGAAACATTAAATGGTTTGGATGTCTGGTTCCTCCCTGTTGAAAACACTTAACACTTTCTATGTTTTTTTTTAAGCAGAGCTGCTACTGTGAACACTTCTGACACCAACTTTTTCTAGACTGGATCATTTCATATTAGCCACTCTGAATGACTTTGTTTATATCTTAATGATTGAATTATGCAGATATAAACATTTTGAGAAATCTGTGGAATTCCCCATTAGACTACAGAAACATCTGCTATGGAAGGGTAAATATAAAAAGGAAACATCCGACCACAAACATCAGACCACAAACATCAGGCCAATAATCATGTAATTAGAATACGTTTCTTCTTTCCTGCTTGAGGTAACAGGTAGGCATGCATGGTTTTAAAGGACCGGACAGGGTGGCCAGAGTGGCCATTGTCTTTCCCTGAAATCTGATTGGTCACCCTAGATGCCACCCCAAAATTTCTGCCACATCATTGGCTTCCACTTTACTGTGCAGTGGGTGTCTGCACCTTTAAAAAAAAGGAGACTTGTCTCACTATCAGTGATCGGATGGACATATATCCAATTTCTCTCCAATCCCACACCCCCCCTGTAAGAGCTGTAGAGCAAAAATGAAGCCATACAGTATTGTCATTATGTGGCCATTCATTTACAACCAAAGCACAAGTCATATATTCTGCAAATGCACATTTGCTTATAAGTAAATAGCCACTGCTTAGTGTGCTTTGCCCCCTTTGTCACCCCATGTCTAAAATCCTGTACATACTACTATTTCAGAACCAAAGATTCTTCTTTGTTCTCTTTCTTTCTTCTTTTTTCTTTACAGACATTTTTCCATCCATCCTTTCTCTTTCATTTTCCAACAAGTTCCTCACATTTAAGTCTGAAATTACAATACTCAGTACCAAGGACACATAATGATATTCATATCATTCAAACACACAGTCATGAATACCATAGGCATGTGCTGACACATACACATAAACACACAGAAGCAGTGAGCTGAGAGGCAGGCTGGAACGTGCCCCAAGCCAAGCTAAGTGCTCAAGTTTACATGCAAAACTCAAACCCACACACTTCCCTTTAATAATTATTTGCAGTGATCTTATCACCAGTGCATATTTGTTTACTATATAGTTTAACTGAGTCATCAATGATTGTGTTATGATAACAGGAACTCTTCAGATTGGAATGATAATTACTTTTAAGAGTTGATAACTTGGTGAAAGTTGCTGTATGGCAATAAAAGACACACCATCTGTGTGAACCTTTGCAGAACTGACCTTATTGATAGGCTGCATATATGATCAAAATTTATATGTAATGATTTGAGAATTCTTAGTAATTATCAGCTGATGACAATTTAAGAGTATAATAAATTCTCTGAAACCTTTCACTAACACTTAATAACATGCAGAACAGCATCTAGATGATCCAGAAGCATTTTGGTAACAAGCGCCTGTGGATTGATGACGTAAAAACAGAACTTTCTGGTCACAATCATCAAAGGTATGTTTGTAGAACAGAGGAGCAGCATTTGATGAAAAGAACGCAGTGCCAACTGTCAAGCGTGGTGGATCTATTATGCTTTGGGGTTGTGTCCTGGCAGTGATGGAAGATGGAAGAATGGATTCCACCAAATATCACCAAATTATAAATGAATGTGACACAGTCATGAACTACTTCAAGAAGTGCAACCCAAAGCTTTTGGGATGGCCTTTATAGTCCCACTCACTTGAACAATATTGAGAATCTGTGGGCCCAGAACTTCAGTTCTTCACTTACAGCAGTGTTTTGCAAGGAAGAGTGAGTAAAAATACTTGAAACAACAACAGAAAGACTCCTAGCTGGCTACAAAATGCATTTGCAAGCTGTGATTTTGTTTCTGTTTTTGAAATTAATGAAATATAAAGTAACTGAGCTTTAAAATTTGAAGAAAACGTCATTTTTAAAATAATTTGCTGCAGAGGCTGGATCTTTTTCACTTTAAAAATGAACAAAAATATGTAAGTTGGTTAGGTCTGCCCAAACTTTTGCATGCAACTATCAGGTAAGCCCATTAAACTCAGTGCTTTCCTTCCTCCATAACAGATGATTTGAACTGATTGAGCACCTTATCACAAAAACACTCCACTACCACTATCTTCCACTGCATTATCACTGAGCCGCCTCGTTTCCAGTTGTTGCTCCAAGGAAAATCTCCCTTTTATGTTTACACCTTTGTGTTGATGTAAAACTACATGCTCAGCCCAGAAATGTTTTGGCTGGTATGAGATAAGTCAGTGTACACCTTTAAAAATAAAAGTGCCAAAAAGGGGTTCTTTGGAGTGGTGCCATAGAAGTACCACTTTTGGTTCCCTGAACAATGCACTGAAATATCTTTAGGGAACCAAAAGTGGTTCCTTTATGACACCATTCCAAAGAACCATTTTTTGTCACTTTTATTTTTGAGAGTGGACTTGCACTTAGGCCTACAGAATGCATTGTTTGTTGTTAGTGCAAACTCAATATGATTTTGGAACAGGTATGTTACAACATGGTTCCATACTTTAATGAAATTTAAATTTCTGCTTAGTTAATGCTTTCACTCATGTATTTGCAATTGTATTTTCTATTTGAATGTATAACTGAACAAAGTAAACTGCTTCCATAATTCATGCCAAAATCTCCACTGTCTCCTGGGTGAACAACAATTTCAGCCAGGTTTCCAAGATTAACCATTTACCATGCTCTGTAAATGTGCTGCTTATTGACAATTCTTACACTGTATTATAAAATTGCAATATTTTACTGCTTTTTAAAATGTGAGATATTGTTTTGGACAGTTTTATGATAAGGTTTCAGCCTTAAAACCCTTTAAATCGGTTCATGATGGAGAGGTACATGCAGGATGTTAATAGAATAGAATAGGCAGAATAATCCCCAAAGAAATGTATTTTTTTTAGATTTACCACAATTTCACCAACACCGCTGTAAAAAAAGACTCTGTAAGCCTCTCTACAATGCAACATTTCACCTCAAACCAATCTGAACGACGTTCTTGTAGAACTTTTGAAAAATCTGCGTAATGCCCTTTTAACAGGACAAAGTAATGCTTTGATAGATGTATGTACTGAGGTGTACCATCTCCATATCTCACTCTGTCTCTTCCACTCTGCCTGTTCTTGTTCTTGCGTAGCTCAATGGAATGCTGGTATGCAGCACTTGGTTTTAGTCCAGTAGACCATTATCTAACTCCCAAGGAACTACTGTTTTCACTCATTAACACACACACAAACACACGCACAACCTTCTAGACAACACCTTTATTATAAAACATGCATCTTAATGTTTACATTTGGCAACATGACCAGAAATGTGAATATTCGGCACATAGACAGGTAAAATAATTAAAAGTCTTAATAACTTAATATACAATACTCTCTTCAAAATACTGAAACACTACAAAGGCTCAAAATTTCTTTAGGAAGTAGCAGTACTGTTAAATGTAAGTAAGAAATCCCTACGTGACCTAATGTTCAAGATACTGCAGTGTTAAGCATTAAACACTACAGTTAACCTCACTTGTTTGTTAAACTATGCATTCGATATGCAGACTGTTTGTCACTCTGTTCGTAGGGAAGATGCTTGCCATTAGTTCTAAACCAGAGAGAGAGACAGAACGTTTGCATAACGCTGCTTATTTAACGCCACATTAGCTCTGAAAGGAGTGCATTTTGCAAAGCTGGGACAGAGGACTGTTTTCAAAAGTGGGCAACCATGGCAGAACAGGCTCGTGAAATGACCTTGATTGTGTAACACATTGCGCTGCTGGAAATGAAAATGGTGGACACTGCTTTGTAAACAGAACAGAGGTACTAGTTTTGCAGGCTTTCCGGTCCACCCGCTTGAAGAAACTAGGTCTCAGTGTTCTTTCAAGTGTTCTAAAACCTCAAAGCTGACAAGACATTAAATAACCTTCATTTGAATCATACATACAGAATATACTACAATATAAATATATGTATAAAAAGATAATGACAATGGACCTGTATAATACAGAATTAAGGAAATATCCTAAACATCAGTTAAAAATGAATGATGATCTCCTTGTTGCTTATTGGTGAATCCTTCCTATGTTGACCTATACAGTGTTTACTGAAAGCATCATAATTAATCTTAATCAGTTATATTCAGTCATCAAGCCACCATGACCCATAAGGTCACTGGTTCTAGGCTGTTACCAATGAACAGTTTTGCTTATAGAGAACTGGACAATGTCAAGCAAATGAGGCCACAGCTATAAGTATCTGGACGACCATGGAGACACAGGGCACTTGAGCAACAGTGTACGCTAGCGACCGCGTCGGGGCTTTTAGGGCAAACAGGTATGCCACACTGTGAACCACTCGACCCAGGAAGAAGATCAGGAAGTGACCTCGTGCTATTGCCAGTGAGGGTTCAGTCAAGGAGTAGATGGCCCCCAGGAACAGGAAGGGGAGGATGTTCTCTAGGTCATTAAGATGAGCCCTGAAAAACACACACAAGTAGGAATACCATGAGCATATGCCCAGACACATTCCACAACAGTTACATGAAGCGCAAAGTGATATATACCCCTCTTAAAGAAACACAGATGGAAAACTGTTTTCCTTCTTCTCCCCTCTTGAGACATACATCCTCTTATGCCAAATGTAGTGAGTCAAATATACACATGGGTAAAAACATCAGCAGACATCTTAAAGGCTGAATTTAGTTAGCACTTTTGTTTGTTTTTTTTAAGATAACAGTATGTCATACAGTATCAGAAACCATAAGTGTGTAATGATCTTGTATGATGTTACCTGCTTGTTAGGTACATTAGCTTCATAGATCCAGCACAAAACTAAAGAAGACACCAAACATGTCCTGGCTGACAGACTTCATTTGGGGTAAAGGTATAAAAAATAGTGTAAATGTGATTTTTGCCCAACAACAGTACTACACAAAAGTAACAAAATGACCTTCATTTTTATTATTTTCACTCAAAATGGACTTTAAGTAATGTATTTAACAGACAATCACATTTATAATTACGTTTTTTCAGTATGTAATGTGTCCACTCTTTGTCTTTCTTACAGTTGCCATTCTTTTCAGGAGACTCACTTTCAGTTTTCTGAAATCTGCAGGGATTTTTTTTAACACTTCCAAAGTTCAGTCTTAGAAGTTGGCTGCATTTTCAAGTCAAACTTCCAAAGTGAACTTCAGACTATACAAGGAGTGCACGGCCAATGCATTCTCAATTTTTTATTGCTTTATAATCCCAAACACATTCAGCGATGCTTATCAATTTGCTTATAGCAAACTGGACAATGTCAAGCACAACAGGCCATGGCTATAAGGCTATGAGCTATAAGGCTATAAGGCTATAAGCCTATAAATATTGAGGCTGAGGTTTGGACTCTGAGGAGGTCAGTCCATTGTTCTGAGAACACTTTGTTTGATTTACAATTTCTCAGTAATGGTTTCTTGACAGCTACTACCTACCATGTATTTTTTTTAATTTTCAGTTACTTTTCTTTGACATTCTCCTTCCAAGTGGATTATCTTCTGTTGAATCTCCTCAGAAATATCTTCTGAAAAATTAATAACTTATTTAATGACTATTGACTGGGTGGTCTCTGACTTTTGCACTGCACTGTGTGATTGTGTGATTGTATACAGGAACACATAGATTCATGCATGCATGCACAAGAAAGCCATCACATCTGGTTTAGATCAGGGGTTGTAAGTTGCCTTTGAGTCAGCCTCTTGGCCCCAAGCCCAGACAATGAAGTCTGCCAATGTCAAATGAGCACAGACTAAACTTTCACTCCAGAGCATAGGCATATTTGCCTTGTGCAATCATTTGAACATCACTTTCACCAAGCGGAGAACAGACTCATGACACCGCTCTGACTTGGTCATATTGTTTGGAAGTGGTAATATTCCTGCATGTTTCCAAAATGTGACGTCTCATGGGGGGAATTTCACAAGATTGCCTTCTCGCAATAGTGCAGGTCAACACCACAAAATCTTGCATTAGTCAACTTCTGCTCAGAAAAGCCGCAAGTACTTTCCTTTATGAGCCATTTCCTCCTTAATCTCTCTCCCTGCATTAATCAGAGGAAATAACTCTTATTTATGTCTGTTAACCCGTTTTTCTTTTTCTTTTATTTGAATAGTGCTCTAAATGATTTGAAAAGAGAATATATGCACAATCTAATAAGTTACTCAAATTTTATATGAATGGAAATATGCTAACAGTACCAGCTAGTCCAGGATACTGTTATCAAACTGTTCAATTGAATCACTTCAATGGTTCACTTCTATTTTGAGATATTACAATGTAATAAATGTTATTTGCTACGGAGATAGAGTTCAATTCTGTCCAGTTTTTTTATTTGCTATTTTTTATGGCCAAATATTTTACAATTAAAAATGAAAGTGCCATAAAAAGAGTTCTTTGGATCAAAAATATCTAATATATGAAGTTATTACCCTTTACCCGTTAACAGTGTAAAGATCCCTTTGCACAGCCCCACAAACCCGCTCCTCATTTTTCTACAAAGGTTCTCGCTGCCATCTTTATTTAATACAAATGGCATCTGTTAGAAACTTGCTGAGGTGGCATCTCACACATGCTGAGACTTCCGTTAGCTTTGACTTCCCCTTTACCAAGCGCTGACACACAACAGCCTGAGGAAGAAATCCTAGAATGTACTATATCTGTAACATACTTGTAAGCCTTGTATACCTCTTGGCCATCACAAATTTGAGTTTGACTTGGAAGTCTAGTAATTGTAGTCTCAATGTAAACCAATGCTTTCTCAATGAAGATGAACCAAGTCAAAGATTCCAAGTAAATAAGCCATAGCACTGCTTAGACAGTGATTAATTTTGGTTGACACATCTCACATTCTTTTGTAGCTTAAAATTTAAATGACAAAAAAGGCTAAAGATGGTCAGTATTAGCATTAAGGTTATGTTAAGGGCTAAAAATGGTTAGTATGAAAGTTACATTATAGACTAAAAATGGTTACTGTAGTATTAAGGTTACATTAAAGGCTACAGATGGTTAGTATTAGCATTGAAGTTACATTAAAGACTAAAGATGGTTAGTATTAACATTAAGGTTACACTGAGGACTAAACATGGTTAGTATTAGCATTAAGGTTACATTAAGGGCTGAAGGTGTTCAGTATTAGCATTAAGATTATGTTAGGGAGCTAAAGATTGTCAGTATTAGCATTAAGGTTACAGTAAGGGCTAAAGATGGTTAGTACTAGCATTAAGGTTCCGTTAGGGGCTAAAGATGGTTAGTATTAGCATTAAGGTTATGTTAGGGGGCTTAAGCTGGTTAGTATTAGCATTAAGGTTATGGTAAGGGCTTAGGGTGGTTAGTATTAGCATTAAGGTTATTTTAGGGGACTAAAGCTGGTTAGTATTAGCATTAAGGTTATGGTAAGGGCTGAAGGTGTTTAGTATTAGCATTAAGGTTATGTTAGGGAGCTAAAGATTGTCAGTATTAGCATTAAGGTTATGTTAGGGGACTAAAGCTGGTTAGTATTAGCATTAAGGTTATGGTAAGGGCTGAAGGTGTTTAGTATTAGCATTAAGGTTATGTTAGGGAGCTAAAGATTGTCAGTATTAGCATTAAGGTTATGGTAAGGGCTTAAGGTGGTTAGTATTAGCATTAAGGTTATGTTAGGGGGCTAAAGCTGGTTAGTATTAGCATTAAGGTTACGGTAAAGGGCTAAAGATGGTTAGTATTAGCATTAAGGTTACGGTAAAGGGCTAAAGATGGTTAGTACTAGCATTAAGGTTACGTTAGGGGCTAAAGATGGTTAGTATTAGCATTAAGGTTACGTTAGGGAGCTAAAGATGGTTAGTATTAACATTAACGTTACGGTAAGGGCTAAAGATGGTTAGCATTAGCATTAATGTTACGGTAAGGACTAATGATGGTTAGTATTAGCACAAGGTTAAGAAATGTAAAATGGTTATTTTATGGCAACACTGAGCATGCAGTTTTACATGAATACAATGGTGTGAACATAGCAGGCAGATTTTCTTTAAGGCAACAAGTGGAAATGAGGTGGATCAGTGATAAAGACTGCTAGTGGAGCATTTGAAAAATGTGTTTTATGGTAAGGTGTGCAATCAGCTCAAATCCTCCCCTCTGCTATGGAGGAAGGAAAGCGCTAAGTTTAATGGACTTGTTGGTGTATGGTGGGGCTTTCTAAGCTTGGAACAGAGTCAAGAGAAACATAAGTCTTAGTTTAGACAGGCAGTTGATCCCTGATTTTTTTTTTTTTCACTTTCACTTATCGTTTCGCATATCTGATCTTTCCTCTGAAGTCTAAGCAGTGTGCAACAGCATTACATTCTAAATTGGATCTTATATGGAGAATACCAACAGATGCATTTCTGCAAATGTTCATACAGACAGCAGGTCTTAACCTCCACAGCGGATCAGATAGCCTAAAGAAGAAAAACAAATCTGACGCCTTTAGTTTCAACAGACTCCTGCATTTCCCTCCAGGCTGTCAGACTTGGTCTCATAAATATTGTTTTAGGATTTTTTTCAATCATGTACGCACAGGCGCATACTTTTACAATCACATACAAACAAACCACTGTTCGGAAAGAAGCTGCACCAAAGATTCCTAAATGGTTCTTGGCTTGGAAGAACGTTTCTAGGGAAAGATGTTTACTGATATAGAACCTTTACATTATTATGTGGACATTCTTTAAACTTTAAAATTGTTCTTCACACACCTTAACTTCCAAAATTGGTTATTAAAACCTCATACTGTTCTTTAGAAAGCCAAAAGTGGTTCTTCTGTGGCATCATGCCAAAGAACACTTTTTGGTTCCATTGTGTTTGGAGTGTAAATATTGTAAAATGTGAAAATTATGAGATTAGATTCCTGACCCACACAAAAACAAATAACTGAACAGGCTATGGTCAGCCATCCAGCTTGCAAAAAAATGACTCACTTTAATAAGTTCTCCATAACTCATCTCTCCACTGATTAAATACAGATGCCTGGCTTGTTGCACCTAAATGTTTATCAAATAAAAATGGGGTACATAGGCATGAGTCTGCCTGTATCCTTTGGAAATCAAGCTTACATGGAATAGACAGAACAGACATGGAAAAGTTTTCTGTCTGTTTTTTAGCCCCAGGTCACATGCATCATTTCCCAGCAAGCTTGAACAGCAACCAAACTGCAGCCGTCAGAGGGGGAGAAACACTGGAAGAACGAAAGGCAATGCACTGACTTGATTCTTATGTGTACATCATTTCCACATAAATAAGGTACAATACATTAACACATTTATACCCAACCTGAGAGACATTGTGTTGGTATAATACTATTTATGAGGAAAAGTTTGCATTAGGTACACTTTTTAATCAAGTTAATTCACTGCAGTGTAGACTCCCCTCATCCCTCCAGTCTATAGACCCGATATGCTAAAATCTGATGGTGCCAAAGATATTTCACACCAAGATTAGTGCATCTGCATCAGTGTAAACTTTAAGGACTTCACATTTAACTCTGTGATGTCCAGCAGGCTCTGAACATGCTATCTGACTAAAATCAGAGTAGCGTTTCCTTTGCATATCTGTGTATTTTATAGGCTTTATACACTAAGGGTGAGGTATTTCAAGATGATTTGTTTTCTGGGACCAACAAGAAGTTATTAAATGAACATGATTTGTTTATAGGCATTTCTTGATAAGATATCTGCCTCACCTTTTTTCAAATACAAGGCATTCTGAATGTTAACTTGAGTAGAACTATTTCAATTATTAAACTGAAAGGAATTCCACCATTTTTTTTCAAAATTTATATATATATATATATATATTCTAATTTCAGCTCAATTCAATCACTGAGATATAAAGAGTGTTTTGGTGTAAAATGCTTTCTTTACAGTGGTGGTGATAGGAACCAGGGGTTGCAATGTCTACAACACAAATATAACTATTTTATTTACTATTCAAAAGCACCTGTGAACCTACACGTCTCTTCTGAGATTTCATGTGGAATGTTGGTAATGGTAAAATAGATGTAAGTCTGGAAAAAAAGAGATTCTTTGGGGACTATTTTGCCTTACAACGCCCTGAATGTATCCCTCCACTGTGAATGGATTAAAATAAATACATTAAAATACATTTTGAGACAAAACTATTGCAAATCTTGATATTGTGTATCAAGCCACTTCATGTAATAACTTTCTGTCAGGAATCTTTGAGAGGCGGACGTCTGGTTCCTATCACCTCCACTGTGAACAGTTCTGACTCTGTAAGTTTCTCTTGAAGGGAGCATTTCACACCAAACCACTCTGAATGACTTTGTTTACATCTTAACCATTTAATTATGTAGAAATTTTAAAAAATCGGTGGAGTTGCCCTTTAAGAAAGCATCTGCTGCTCTTTTCACCATTGTGGTCACGTCTTCCACAAGTTTTTACAGCTTCTTACTACTAATCAGCTGCAATCTGTGAAGCTGTAAAGTGGAAGCAGCATCATAGAATCACTCCATACATTTATCTGCAGCATTTCATTTTACTGTGAACTTTTGAATTGTGATTCCAAGCTTTTAAAGGCTGGTGTGCGTGACAGATTGTGCGCGAGGCGACATAGCGTATAGACTACTAGCAGATAATGGAGGTCCATTGAGGCGTTAGCTTGCTTACCTTCTACACCTCTCTACGTAAGGATCTTCACGGCAGAACTGCTCTCCTCCATGCCTCATCGCGTCTTCAACATTTGTGAAAGCCTGGCAAAAGACAGCAGATGCCATGTCATATTAATTTTTTCATTCTTTGTTTTTAGATATACTTTTCTATGCGCTATTTGGGCGCAGCAATGTAACACTAAAGCCGCAGCTACAGCGGTATACAAGAGCTATAGCATTCACTGCCTAGCTCAAGTAAACTTTACTTATCGCCAAGATAACTTTAAAGACAAAAACTCGTTACAGTGAACTCTCACTCTTACCTTTTTCCGCAGCCTCACTTGGCCCGTGATGATGGCGATGATATACATCTTTAGTACTAAAAGCGTGCTGTAAAACACGAAGCAGGAGAACACCGGGCTGCCCAGCATTTTGCTCTCTCTGGCGCGCGCTCTCCCTCTCTCTCTGCAGCAGAGTCCTGCGGTTCTGAGGGAGAGAAGGAGTCCGTGGCGGTTTTATAAGCAGAAGCTGACTCACCACAAAACAGGAGAGTGGCCGTAGAGAGGGAGATCCAGCCCACAACTTTCACTCAGTTTTTCCCTCCCCTTCTCCCTGTGCTCTAGTGTTGTCTGGATGGGTGGTGTTGGCGCAGTGAGTAGCACTGTCGCCTCATAGCAAGAATGGCCTGGGTTTAATTCCCGGCCGGGCGACCGGGGTCATTTCTGTGTGGAGTTTGCATGTTCTCCCGTGTCTGCGTGGGTTTCCTCCCACAGTCCAGAAACATGCAGTTAGGCCAATTGGACATGCTAAAATTGCCCCTATATGTGCTGCGATGGACTGGCGACCTGTCCAGGGTGTATCCTGCCTTCCGCCTAATGACAGCTGGGATAGGCTCCAGCACGCCACCGCGACCCAGAAGGATAAGCGGTTTAGATGATGTATGTATGTATACTTAACTAGTTTTCAAAGTGTTTTAATTTATGGCTTACTGAGATCTCTTTTCCCGCGACTACATCTTCAAACGAGCCCAATTTGGCGGGAAAAACGGCGACTCTAGCACAGCCCGTGTACCTGTGTTTATAGCACATTTAATTCCGACGCCGCAATCTGATTGGTTGAGGAGCGTTATGTCCGCGCTGTTATTTGTGATTTCGATCTTTTTCACATAAAACTGTATCATTCCTCTGAGCAGGGTTTGGTAAGTAACGACTTGTTCTATGCTGCACCTAACCGTTTCTACTTTAGTAGAACAGACACATTAGGTAACTTTTATAATGTATTATTTGACTTGCAGCCCGTGTTTGGTCAGATTTTGAAGAAGAAGTGTGACAGCAGAACCTACGTCAAATTCTGAGCCTGAAGCCTTTCGGTTGGCATATGACGGCAGATCAACCAAACGTAGGCTAGTAGAATTAGCCATTAGAAGAATACAGTTCAGCAAATAAGATGGGCTCTGAAATGCTTTACAGACTAGCTGGAACAAAATGACATTTGAGTTAATCTTTGTTATCTGAGTTAAAAATGGATATTGCATCAGTTTTATGGCTCTATCAGTAACCCAAAAGCCTACTACTGTTTTGGCGGATAGAGTTGCGCCTGTTGAAGCAAATTCATGCAGCCTTCAGAGGGCTGCTTTACTTTATTTTTTTCTTTATTTTGCAGCTCTGTCGTATAAAAGCAATAGAAAATACATTCAACCTTAAATACACACCCCAGCAGTAGTTCCCCTCAATGTGTTTAGCTTCAAATGTTCCAAATCGCTGCTTATAGAGAAATGCACTGAGTCAGTCAGTTTGTAGTGCTGCCCTAAATTCTCAATGGTGAACTTGAATGCGTTTCATATAAACGTCTAGTTTTATATGTTGTAGAGTAACTACAGATTCAGTAATTCTATTCAGTTATTTATTTTCTAGAGTGTCTCAGTGTAGAAGTTGTCTTAGGGCACTAGAATATAAATTACAGCCTACAATGCACCTCAAAGTATATGCACTTGCCCCAACCAGTTGCCCTGGAAATCAAACTGAGCCACAACTAAAACTATAATTCAATGTGATAAATACAAAATTTTGGTATTTTCAAAATGATGAAATATAAAATATGCTGTTTTCGTCATATTTGTGATGTCACAAAATTTTCCATAACGTTTGCACCAGTTTTTCAGCAAATCTAGTCTATGACTTAATCATTATGCTGATATAAGGACACACACACTTTCATGAACTAACTTCCTGAAAATGCATGTTTTGCTTGCTAAGCGTGAAGGTTTGCCTCAGTCTTTGGATATTTCTTCATTGCTAGGTTATCAGTGTAGAGGGTCTTGGAAGACAGTGGGCAAAATGACTGTGTTGCGTAACTGGTGAGTTCTCTACATAGCTCAGACTGTTCTAGATGGGGGGACAGTGAGGGAGGAAATGACTGATCTGTTTCATAGCAGTAACAGTATACCAATTTCCACATCTTTGTTCACTTGAAGTGGGAAAGTTCCTATTAGCCAATAAAATATTTACACAATCCTACAGCTTGAGGTGAGGAAAGAGTTATTTAACAGCTATCTGTGGGTTGAGAACACTAACAGAGGTTTCTTTAAAGAATGAGTTTTATCAGAAACTTGCCACCTTTAGGAGAAAAGTATCACACAGGACCTGTGTGTTCCGCTGACACGGTCGCATGATCACCATGAAAACTGTATTGCGGACACTGTCACTGTATTCTTAACCTAATGCAGTGGTTCAGTACTCCCAACAGAAGCGTGGCCCAGGAAAGTATGGGACCCGCATAAGAGACAAATGACGTTGCATATAAAACATCATTTAGCTCCGTCTTTGCTGGGGGACCACTGAGTGCACATACTGGGGAGTGGCCACTGATAGGTCTGGGCTTATCCAGTTTGATAACAGGCCTGCCCAGTCAAATGGAGAAAGCAAATTCCTGATTTGCATCATTCCTGAATATGTGAAGAGACATCCTAGAATAATAAATCACTGTTAACCTACAAAAAAATTCAAAATTTTAATTATATAAATTGATATACATTTTTGGCCAGACTGTCCCAATCCTGAGTACTCCAGGAACTGAACAGCACAAAGTGTATGCCTTCACCATCATTAGCTATGTGGGAAAAACAAAAAAAAATATTTGTAGACATAAATGTGCAATCAGAAATAACGTCTGGAAATTTGTGAAGTTGGCTTACTAAAGTGTCTATTGACTAATGTGACTAAGAGATATCATTACTATTATATCCCAGGTGGTTGCTAAGGTGTTACTGTGCTATCCCACATGGTTGCCAAGATGTTGCTAAGCCATTGCTATGTTATCCCAGGTGGTTGCTAAGAAGTTGCTAAGCCGTTGCTATGGTATCCCAAATGGTTGCTAATATATATAGTGTGTAAGTTTATGTAACTGGTAGAACTATTTAGTGGGTTGTTGGCTAGAATGCAATGAACATACTAAGGCCATGTGCCGAAAATTGTCTGTGCCTAAGCTTAATGTGCTTAACAAACATTCTGTGAATTACACAAGTAATTCACAGAAACATTTGTTAAGAAACATTTTCTACTCTTCAACTTTCTTTTTTTGGATTCAGCACTAAGTTCTTTTTACCAGGAGGGTAGGCTTCCCCCCATTTTTTTCATTTTTCTACACCATTTGATAATGCCAACTGCCCTTTACAGTGTTTGAACATTTCATGGTGAATGGACTAATGAAATTAACCGAAAACTACTAGAAATAAAATCTTGTTACATTAACTTACATATATTGCTGCTGTAAGAACAAACACACTGTTAAACATGACTGGGTTAGACCGGTACGGTAATCTACACTCTACCCAGAGGGCAGGACGTTTCCTGGAGCATGAGCCATGTTGCAACATTCTTCATGCCCTATACACAAGCAAGACAGATCTTGTAGATGTTATCCCACCATCACAATCTAGGCTAGTAACTCTTTTCAATAGGAAATCATATTTTATATCCTTATTTGTATGCCTGTATTTATATGGATTGATAACTTTGTGTTTGACTTTTAGTTACTATATATGTATATATATATATATATATATATATATATATGTGTGTGTGTGTGTGTGTGTGTGTGTGTGTGCGTGTGCATATATGTGTATATATATATATATATATATATATATATATATATATGTATATATATATATATATATATATATATATATATATATTCAGCTTTTTTAACCATTCAGCATCTTGTTGATGCATTTTTAAAACTTGTCTGATGTAGTACATACAAATTATTAAAGTTTACATAACCATGCCACCCTATTATTTTTCTAGTTATCATCCAGTGCCTGGTTTGGCTCAATCAATACTTCATTAAATTAATCAGATATGCTGGTGGTGGATTTGAGCAAAACGATGCGATGGCTGGGGAGAAATGTGGAACCAAACTTGTGTTCTTAGTGTTTAGTAATTAGATACTAAATTCCAACTATGTGTTTGAAAACAATACATTCCATGTTGAAACACGCTTACTGCCAAGATAAATGATTAAAACTACGTCTAGGTGTCTAAAACTTTTGCACAGCACTGTATATCCACCTATTCTGCTTACAGCCGTTCAGCCCTGTCCATTCACGCTGAAGATATAAGGAGTGTTTATGCTTGGATTGCTATTTGAATGTAAAGAGAAAACAGCTTGTTCAGTTCTAAGATAGGATTTACCAAACAAGGGTTCATGGTGGCTTTGCATGGGCTCATGAGACTGTGATGGAAATATCACAGTCAAATTAATTTTTCTTTTTGACAAGTGAAAAATATAACACTTTTTTGTGTCCTTGTAAGTACTAAATGTGACAAAAGTTAATATTTCCCTTCAATGATGATTTATCTATTCAACAGTAAGTGATCATTTCATTTGATAAACTTTGGAACCACATGGCCGTCTAAAGGAGAATTCCTTTCTTTTTAAAAAAAATCTGCATCTTTCAATCATTAAGATATAAACAACGTTATGCAAAGTGGTTTGATGTAAAATGCTCCATTCTAGAGAAACTTGCTGAGTCAAAATAATTCAGAGCAGTGATGATGGAAACCAGACCTCACTGAAAGTTACTTCACTGAAAGTTAATGTATGAAATGATTACAAATATGCTGCCTGATGCCTGAGACATTGTTATGTATTTTTAAGTTAATCTTTTTCCCTAAAATGTATTTAGATAAAAAATCAGTGGCGGAGAGACACATGCAGGCATGCAGTGTGATGTGCGGCAAAATACCACTTTTCAGATTTATGACAGTTTTACCATTAACATTAAATATAAAAACTTCAAAAGATGTGTGTAGGTCCGCTGGTGCTTTTGGATAGTAAATAAAATGCCTATATTTGTGTTGTAGACATCACAACCCCGCGCTTCACATTGCCACCACTGTAAAGAAATCATTGCCAGTCATGAAGTCCATCATCAAATCTATTCGAAATCTATAATTCTATAAAAACATTTGTGCATGATAAAAACAGTATGTTTATACTAGTTAGCCATGGTTGATGAGTATAGTACCTGAGCAGTCAGTGAAGGAGAAGGGCCCCGATATAGGAACAAGGT